CCCCAAAACCCCAAAACCCCAAAACCCCGAGAGAATATCTTCGAATTGAACTACACATAATTAACTCATTAGAGAAGAAGGCTAAAATTACACCTTAATCAGTCTTGAGTTCTAAACTTCAAGTGCGGAATATTCACAACCGATTGCTTTATGGTGAGCAAATTTTGGAAATTAGTGAGAAAGTGTGAAAAACAACACGAAGAGACCTCTCATGCTATGTAACAGGTTTCTGAAAGAAAAATGCCTTGAAGCTGTGTTCTTATCATCAGAAAGCATAAAACTCTAACACTGATTCTTCTTTTTGAGAATCTTTGTAATTTTATTCATCTATGAAACTGACTTGTCCTAATTCATTTTCATTCAGAATCTCTCTTGCATCACTTTCTTCAATCTGAAAACAAGAGATGTTGATAACTTTGAGGGTGAGTTTCAAATTGGGAGAAGAGCCTAATACTTGAATCAACCTTTTGAATCCATCGAGATTGTTCATTCGAACTGAATTAACCTTATGCTCAGAATAAGATAAATCTATACTCTGAATTCTTGTATTTTTCAATAATCCATCAAAGCTCATAGTAGCTGGGAGAGAAAGGTTACAGCTACATAATTTAATTTCATGAACATGAGCGTATGAAACCATTAGTCTCTTGAATTGACGATCATTAAGTTTGAACCCACCGATTCAAATAACATTCGTAACTCTTGAACTTTGTCTCAAAAGAACATTGAAATAAGGGAAGATATTCGGAGTATATCCAAAAGCAGAAACCAAAGAAAACTCAGAAACCTTTTGAGGAAATGAGGAACTGAGAAATTTGATTACTCGCTTATTTCTGATTTTTATTTGGTCTACCTCCAATTCCTGAGCACTGGAGATTACACAGAACGGTAATCTCTCAATAAATTTCACATCTTTATAACAATTCAAATTAAAATAGAGCTCTATATCTTCTATAATAAAATCATGATGCTTTTTGTTTTCATCCCAATAATTTCATAAGAATTTATACAATGATTCTTTGAAATTCTCTTGTTAATGGCTTCATTATTCTCCAGAAAAAACTTCTCCAAGCTATATCAACATGATTATTAAGTTTGGATAATTTCAAGAAGAAGAGTGGACTTATTCACACTTTGTTAACATTTCTGGTCGTATTAGATTCGAGTTGGATAATAGTTGTAAAAATCATGAGTGAAGGTACTAAAATCCCCTCGAAGAGTAAATCAGTAAATTCAATAAATTATTTGCTTAAGAAAAGAAGTAGCAGCTAACTTTGTTCTAAGGAAGAATATTTACTTCAGTATTTCTGAATATGTTTGCTACCTAATTCCTAACTTAAAGATTTCTGATAGAATCATAAGAGTAGAGAAGGATGGAGTGAGATTACTTGAACAATCAGACTATTTAATAAGAATAGTGATGGAAGAAAAACTATAGTTGGGAGATTATAAACTATCATTCAGAAAATATCAGAAATAGAAATTTTCTGAAAGAAATTGGGAAATGTAGCCAAGAAGCATAGTCAAATACGTTATTTTCAGTTCCATAATGTTGGATCAGCTTTAGAATTAGTTAGCCTTACTATCATGCTAGAGTCTTGTCCAATTGCATAGACTGGGTTGAACTCTCCATCTTGTTTTAAAATATATTATAAAAATTTATTTCAAACCTCAGTTGCTAAGTTGGGGTTTTGGGGTTTTGGGGTTTTGGGGTTTTGGGG